TTTCTTAACGCTAATGAGAATGGTATGTGGGCAGCAAACAGCAAAAAGCTATGTTAAACTCTGGTTTTTTTCTAGAATTCCTTTTCAAGCCCTCTCAGGTTCTACATGGAGTTAGTCAACCACGTTGGGCGCCACTCTATTGTAACAGCACAGGACCCCTTTGTCCAGTCCAGGCTGGCTAGCTTAATCCCCTAAATAACCACACAAAAATTGTATTCATTTAAACACTGTCTGGCTCATTATCTCTAGCCTCTTATTGAATAACTATCACATATTAGTTTAACCCATCTCCATTAACATATATTGCTGCTTTACTGTGGCTTACCAACCAGCATGAGTCTAACCAACATCCATCTCAGGCAGGAAATCCTTGGTGTCTGCCACATTGTCCTTCTTCCCAGAAATCTGTTCTGTCTTCCCTGCCTACCTAAAATCCTCCCTATCAACTAGGCCAAGGCAGTTTCTTTAATAACCAATGAAAGCAATACAAATACAGAAGGACCTCCTGCACCACTAAGATATTACAAGGATTGTTTTAAAGCTGGAATCACATGAAGCAAATTGGAATTAGCTGAAAATGTATAACAGACCAGTAATAAATGAAGCAAAACTGCTATTTGATGACTCAAGACACCAAGATTTTAAGCTGCAGAGATGATTCAGAGGTCAAGAGCATTGCACTACCCTTGTATAGGATCTGATTTCAGTTGCTAGGACCCAAAGCAGGTGTCTTATAGCATCATGTAACTGCAATACCATGAGAATCAGTGCACTCTTCTGGCCTCTGAAGGCACTACACACAGAAATGTGTAAACACACACACAATAAAACTAGCACTACTCCACTCCTAATACCATTATTACTAATGCTATTACTAATTATTAAAGAATGACACAATTCAATCATAGGATTTATTTTTTGACCACACCCAGTCATACACTGTACAAATACATGATTTAAAAGTTTTAAGAATTTATTGCCATGGGAACAGTTCTGGTGGGAAACCAATCATTTTCTCCTGGAATACTTTATCAAAGACTTCAGCTTGGGCTACAGTAAAGTGATTCTTCCAGTCTCTAGTCGTGCCTGAAAAATATGAAGCAGACACAAAGATGGGTTAATGATGATCTTAACACTATCACTCCTTAACTTAAAATGCTTAACATATTTCTCAATCCTCCTTTCACATACTTGAAAAGGAACAAACAGTATATAAAGTGAAACTATCAGTGACTCCCTAGATAATCTTTCTTATGCCTTGCAATATTATGCAAACAGACTTCTACCCCTGTGGAATTGTTGACACACCTTATTCTTTCCCATCCTGTCAACTACAAAATCTAACAGCATCAGCATTAACTCAAACTCTAGATGGCCAGATTATTTCTGCTCCCCACTATACCTGATTGCACCACACTGTTCATCCAAACAGAATTTCTTATCTTAGTTATCCAAGCTGACTTCAATTGCTCTTTCTTCATTTTAGTGTTTACTTATAGAAGTTCTGAAAAGCATGCAAGCAACTTTTAAAACATATTTTAAAATTAATTTTAATTATGTGTATAGGTGCACATGAAACCATGTGCCATCAGAAGTTAGAGGCAACGTACCTCTTGGAGCTGGAGATACACACAGTTGTGAACTACACGGCAATAAAGATGCAGGAGACCCAGAAACAGTCAGCAACGAATGTCCCAGGACTCCTGTTTTCAATCAGTATGGTGTTTGGTAATGTATGAATATCTACATTATTTCATCCTCTGTTCTTTTTACAATACTTTGGTTTTGTCTCTAGTTGTATTGTTAAATTGTCCAACTGTTCACACTGCATAGTGTGTACCTTCACACTGGAGTGCTCATGTCTTCCGTATAATAATGTCTTGTTCTTTTGCTTTCTTAGTAATGCCACTGTAATCATCTCTTCCTTTCTTCCAAGCAGAACTCTGAATCCTCTATCCTTGCTGTATTTTATTTTATACTTGTGATGCTTTGACATGCTCTACTCATTTCTATTTTGTATGTATGCACAAAATCTAATATATTTGAAATGCAAAATGTAAAATGATTCTTAAACTGTAAAAGTTTTCATTTAATCCAGCACATCAGGCAAAGGGAACATGCTCAACATGGGTTTGTTGAAAGTATTCCTGAATGAGTGAAGAAGGTATTGGCATTGTTCCATTTTGCTGATGCAGAAAAATGAGTCCCTGAGATTTTACCCAGCATGATATTGATGAAATCAGATGAAGCAAAAAAGATTGGCAATAAAGGTCATCCTTTTCCTTATCATATTACTTTCTTTATTAAAGATTTGTTTGTTAATTATGTGTATATCATTCTGCCTGCATGTATCTGTGCAGGTCAGAAGAGGTCACCAGATCTTACTACCCATGGTTGTGAGCCACCATGTGGTTGCTAGGAATTGAACTCAGGACCTCTGGAAGAACAGTCATTGTTCTTAACCTCTGAGTCATATCTCCAGATCATCACATTACTTTTGGGAAGAATCATGGAAGTTAATTTTAAGCCTCTAGTAGTATTAATTAAAGAAAATATGAAGAATTCATAATTAAATGCTAATTATTGATATACCATATTCAAATAATATACCATTATTTGATATGAATATAAGACTGCCAACTGTTATGGTGGGATCTCATGAGTATCCTCTTCTACTCTTCAGCTTCATTGTTATCATCGCTTTAGAACAAGTTATTTTATTGTTTCCCTCAGTACGCCTGGCTTTTAATAAATCAGAAAAGATGCGGACATACCAGAACTGCAGGAAATTCAATATGAATGAGTCAAGTTAAGAGAAGTATGTCTTTGAAGGTACACATATAAAGTTCTAAGTTACAATATGTAAATATCCTGTGCACCTTGCAAGTAAATACTTCTTTTTTAATAATCTCCTCAAACACTGGTGTGTCAGGGGACAAGATAACCCTACTACATGATGGCTTAACTCTTGTTGATAAGAAAATTCCTAATAGTTCTGGTAGCTGTAGGTCTCACAAAAATATTTTTGATCAGACTGTCCCTGGCCTTTCTTATGGCCTGTAGTGACCTTCTCCCTAGGTCTTTTTCTGTCTTTGTCGAAGATTAATGCCTTAGACATTCATACACAAACACACACATATACACACATACAATCACACACACATATATGTGTATGTAAATAAATATAAATATATCCTCCTGAGATATATGATACATGATCCACACTATATTTTGGAAGAGAATAAGCTTAAATGTTATTTTGGTCTCATGATCCACCATTCTATGATGGAGGAAGCTTGAAGGTTAAGGCTGAAGCATCTAAATTATTGGTAGAAGAAAATGAAATCCATTATTCTCTGCTTCCTGCATCTATACCCAAGTTCTTTACTCATCTCCAGAGACATGATATCCGACTCATTCCTTCTTCAGCAGAGTTCCATTTCACCAATTATTTGCTAGTAAGGTGTAGGTGAGATTCCAGGTGTTATACACTCTGGCAAAGTTACTCCTTAGTTTTTACAGCAATGAAATCATGCCAAAAAACTCTTCCCAGTGTAGAGAGGTAGCACAGCCATAGAGAGGATGGATATTACCATTCCAGGAGAGACAATTCAGAATCAACTGAGTAGCCCTGAGTCTGAAGCAATTCAAATTTAGGTTGGAAAATACCATCGTATTGTAGCAGTGGTGAACAATTTGCTTTTTATGGGACTAGAGTCAGCCTGCTATGAGTCAGCAATCTTGACATATTCAATATCTCTTCAAATCATTTTGAAGGAAGTCATTTCAGTGTTTGTGATCCCAGATATATCTTTGGTCCCATGCATTGACATTTTCTTTAGAATTGAGTTCTAAGACACTGGGAGCCTTACAGAGTCTCATTGCAGTATGTCTACACTTTCTTTCACATTGAGAGTACTGTACATATGCAATGCCAAGATACTCTCCCACAACAAGTCAATTCTTTTTCAGAGTTCCTGAAAGCCACATCATCAACATGAAAAGATTCCATTGCAAGGTCTGTAAGAAACTATGTTGTAATGAGCAATGACTTTTGAAACATTCCTGACTTTTTATAGTCTCATTGAAACAACAAGCTCTCCACATATTCTGACATATTTTTGAAGCTGGATATAATTTTCTTCACCTTTCCTCATGAGATTAAAACCATTAGTAACCACATCTTCTGGAATGAGGCTAAAATTGGACATTTTATTTTCTTTCATGGCTTGGAAGGAGCTGTGCTTGAGGACCAGATCCAGCTCATCTGTCTCTAATTTCTTTCCTAAGAAGTCACAGATCTTCTCTATGGTTCCTCTTGTGTCCTAAAAAGAGAAGAAACAAAAAAGATGCTAATGAACAGAGAGATCTGAGAGAACAGATGCAGTGAAGATAACTGTGGATGGACACTGATATGGGTGCATGGAAAAAGAAATAACGCCGTGAAATGCAAAAGCATTGAAAGATTTGAGGAAAGAAACAGGACATTTACAGATGGCAGAAGTCACACACACAGCATTTTGTAATGAGTTGGGAGTGCAATGTGTCTGATGCCTGTACCTAAAAGACAGAGACTGATTTCTTTTAGGGAGGAGAGGATACTAGAGACAGGATCTCACATAGCAAGACTGTTCTTAAACTTACTTTGTAGTAGATGAAGACCTGGAGCATGTGATCCTCCTGTTTCCAATTCTGTAATGTTGTGTTCACAGATGTATGCCAACACACCCACTAAATGCACTGGGATATTTTTTCCTTTAGACAGGGTCTCACTATGCAGCCTTGTTTGGTGGGATGAAACTTAATATGGAGACTGTACTGACCTCAAGCTCAAATAGGTAAGGGATCCACCACCTGAATTTCCTCCTATGTGCTGATATTTAAGGTGTGCACCACCATACCCCACTTGTTTGAGCATTTAAAGAGACTTATAGAGATACTTTCAGACAGTGATAACTGGAATGAAGGCAATATGCACAAAGATTTTGAAAGAAGTTAATGTTTACACCATGTAATACTGTTTCCTATGGGTAAATAAGAATAATATAGTTTTGCAGCACTTTCATAAGAATGATGTCAATATTAATTACTTTGGGGTATTTCAGGGAGCTTTTATTCTGTTTTGAGTTAAGATATCATTCTGTAACTCAGATATCCATCACATTCATAATCTTCTTGCTTCAGATACCTATATACTGGAATCACAAATGTTCACTGTCCCAATTGTTAATCAAAGAAGACAGTTATAAGAAGGCAGAACCTTAGAATAGTGGAGACTTTGCTTTGAATTCTAGCCCTTTTCATGGAACTCTAAAGGTATTGCTGATGCCAAACTTTTATTACATATTTTTCAAAGATTCATAATATTTTATGGGAAGGTAAATAATCATGGCAATAACAGAAAATGATGTGTTGAATTTTTAGAACAGGAAACTTATGTAAAACTGCACAGTCATGTAGCAGATACAGCTAGATAATAATAAATTTTATTTAATTTATTTATTAAATTTATTTAGAATAAATAATAAAGGAGAAAGTAAAAGATTTTGAAAAGGCAAAGAGTCTTTGGTGTTGCTACATAAATGGAAACTTTCTGTTCCTGAAAGAAAACATTAAGGAATCAAGTTCATTTTGAATGATCAAATTTTCCTGGTTTTGTTGCTCCTTTATATTTTTCATTAAGAATTGTTTTTCTGACTTTTGTCAGGGATGCAGGTAGGCTGGCTGCAGATTTTTCATTTCCCTGTGCCCCTCTAGATCCAGTCCCCCAGTCTCCTCCCTACTTTTGACACAGAAATATCTGTGGCTACTTCCCCTATCTAGAGTAGATCTCTCAGATGTTCTTCTAACTTCACTGCTCCAGTTCAATGTACTATCCCAATACACAAATCCAAAAGACCTGTCTTGGGAACTCACAGACGACTCTGGCTAGGGAAGAGGTAAGTTAATTGCAGATCATCACCTATCCCTCATTATTTTGAGACCAATGCCCCAATGTTACCCCTAACTATGCATCAGAACATCTGCATTATCTACCCACATCTCTAGTAGATCTCATAGACCACTCCAAACATCCCTATCCCAACTCATTGCATTGTTCCACGGTTCACCTCCACCAAGCATTCCCTGGGAACTCACATGACAAGATTGTCAGAAAAACAGTTTGGCTAAATGCAGATCTTCACCTCCACATTTGTTACTCCAAGTCCAGTGTCCTAGTCTCATTCCCAGCTCTGTGTAGAACACCTGGTTCAGCATCCCTCCCACACATGCTACTGTCACAAGTGGATAAAACAGATCTGAAACTCCAAAGTTCCTTCTCTCTACTCATTGCTTTGTCTGAGCCCTAAAATTCAGATGACCCTCTCTAAGAAACCATATGCCACTCTAACAGGAAAGCAAGTGGGCTAACTGCAGATCTTCCTTACTCCCTCCATTCTTCCAATTCCAAACCTCAGTCTCATTCACAGATTTTTATCAAACTTTCTGCTGTGGTCTATCCTCAGTGGCCCCATTTCCAGGTGACTGAGTAGATTCTGTGGAAAACTGCTTGCTTCCCTCCTGTGAACTTTCTTCTGCCCCCTTAGCCCATTCCCAATTATATGTGTCAGCTTCCTATATCCAGAAACCCATTTGACCTGGAATATCCAGTGGTCACAGTGATCAGGATCCCAGGCAACACAGAGCCACCACACTGTCTAAGTATCAAACAGGTCAAAAGAATAATGAAGAAAGCACCAATGCAACATAAACAGGAACAGATATCAGCACTTAGAATTACAAGTTCCCTAATCTCAGAAGTGTAGAGTACAGCCTAAAAATATAATAAATATCATCCTGGAGAGTATGTCTTCACTGGAGGCCAGCAACACTACTACAGCAGTTCCTGATGATTTCAATATAGTTATAGAGCAAGAAAAGGATCTTAAAACAAGAAATGAATAAATTCCACAAAGAAATCTTTCAAAACACAAACTTTGGAAATAAATGAATAAAACTATTCAAGACCTGAAGGTGGAAATAGAATTAATCAAGAAAACTGAACGTGAAAGAAATCTGAAAAAGAAAAATTTAGGAACTTAAACAGGACCCTCAGAGGTGAGATTCATGTACAGAATATGTGAGATAGATGTGAGACTCTTAGGCATTGAAGCCAACATAGATGAAAAATGGATACATTTGTCAAAGAAAATGCTAAACCTAAAAGCTCCTGTCACAAAACAATCAGGATACCTGGGGTACTATGAAAAGATCAAGTTTAATAATAGGAATAGAGGAAGAAAAAGAAAAAGACAATGTTAATGGCACAGAAAATATTTTCAATTAACTCAGAAGAAAATTTCTGTAACGTAAAGGAGATTTCTATCAAAGTAAAAGAATCATACAGAACACCCAATAGATTGAATTGGGAAATAAAGTACCACAAAATATGATAACTATAAAAAAATCTAAACACAAAGTACAAATTATTAATAAATGGGTAAGGACTGGAATGGGAGGGACAAGTGAGGAGTGGAAAGCAGAGAGGCTTGAGGGAGTAAATGTGGAGAGAGACAGCTGAAATTAAGGGATATTCGAGGGAACATATGCAACCTAAAAGAGTAGAAAGTCTATCTATCTATCTATCTATCTATCTATCTATCATCTATCTATCTATTTATCTATCATCTATCTATCTATCTATCTATTGTATGTATGTATCTATCTACCTATCTATCTATCTATCTATCTATCTATCTATCTATCAAAGGCAATCCAAATAATATAACCTAACAGTGGGGGAATATAGTGTCCCAAATGGCCATGTCTTATCACCAAAGAAGCTTCTAGTACTGAGATAGAGTTACATGTAATTGAGTAGTTAAACAAAGAGATCTCATGGGAGAACCCCTAAATAAGGTTGCATTCCACAAACTGACAGTAATTCCCTATTGCTGAAGACAATACCTTCATGACTCATTGAATTTTGAGGTGCTGGGCTGGAGAATATGCAGTGAGTTTCCATCCCTACTTACAGCATCTTTTTTACAGGAAGGTACTTTACACATTATCCAAAGAGAAATGTACATATGAAGTCAGTCACAAATCATTGATCTGCAATGGTGTCCTACCTGCAAGATATGATGTGGGAGAATTGTCTGTATTCTGTCAATCAGATTCTCAGCACTAGGGAGGCAGAGACAGACAGATCTCGGTGAGTTCAAGGATAGCCTGGTCTACAGAGTTAGTCCAGGACAAAGATATACAGAGAACCTGTCTCTAAAAGTAAAAGTAAAAATAAAAGAAATAGAGGTTAAAATAAAGCTGCATAAAGATGGAAAATACACAGAAAATCTTGATACTGTATGCTATTATCCTCTCTTTGAATTGTTTGAATGCTGAGGAAGGAGCAACAGCTGCTAAAAGATATTTGCTTATAAATGCTGCTGAACTAATCCAAGATAGATATTTGGAAAATACCTTGACTTCAGAATTTGGGTCTAAGAATATGATGCTTTGGAAAGGAGGTCCTTCTTTTGTTTTCACAGAGGATGAGACCCTGTGGATTGCTTCTATCCCAATATGGTATGATAGACCACGTCCTCCTGAAAGGTTGCTATGAACACCCTCAAGAAATTACTTCACTCAACTGCCAACTGAGATGAACCTGGCAGACAGGTTTTACCATGAAAGACCTGATTAACAGAGCCCCTATACAGCAGGAAGAAGTTTGGAGAGAAATAACTACATCCATATTCCCAAATATTGTTTATAAATGTTCTTTTACATTTAAAGGGGGATATGATATAGATATGAATAATTTCATTGGTATGGATTTTAATGTCAATTTTTTTATATGTATATATATTTCTGATCTTGATTGATGTATTGTGATTGTATAGTTCATTTAAAAATGCAATGTATAATTAAAAATATAGGTTGTTAATGGATAATCATTGATAATAGTCAAGCTTGTAGTAATGTTAGTTTGATTTTCTAGATGTGCATAGATATATTTCAGATAGGCATTCTTCATATCTTTCAAAGACTACAGAACATGACATTTAATGTTTTAATAACTTAGGACTTTTCATGACAATGAGACACGTCTGCTCCTAGCAGCACCAATCTACTTCAAGAGGAAGATGGGCATCGAATAGGCTCCTTATGGAGTTTGATATCCATTTTGGGCAAGAAACTGCTCTTGCCTGGACTGTTGTATAAACTGAACACAGAGAACCCGCAGAGAGAGGACTGCTGAACTTGCCTAAAGATGAGATGATCTTTCGGGGTTCCTGATTCATGAAAGAGTCTGCGAGACATTCTGCAGGACACAGCAGATAGT